AAAAAAAAAAAAAAAAAAAAAAAAGGGGGGGGGGTAGAAAAATGCATGAATTTAAATTTCAGATCCATTTAACAGTTCAGCATAACTGGGTACCCCTTATGTACTGGGCACTAGAGATAAAGATGGTTACAGTTGGATACAGTCTCTGCCCTGGACAAGCTTCCATCTTTTTTTTCTTCCTATTTGTACTTGCTCACTTGAGGGTCTATAGTTCAGCTGACTTTGGTTGCAGTTCTTTCCAAGAGTTTAAAAAAAAAAAAAACTCCTTGAGGACCAATAGTCCTATAAGGATTTCACCCAGGTCTCAAGACTTTGAATGCTCGAGCCTGTGTGTTTCAGCATTTGGTTTTCTGGAGGGTATTGCCAGGGTCTACATCCTTTTTGAGTTTTAAGGAACAGGGAGTTTAATAAGCAAGAGAAGGGGGAAGAAGGAAAGAAGCTCCCCTGTACAGAGACAAAGGTGGGGGTGCTCCAAAGTGAAGAGAAGGAACCTCTGAGTCTGCATCTTCTGTCTAAACTTTTAGGGCCAAGGGACAGGCTAAGCTACACAGCCCCTCCGTCGTTTAAGGAGCATGCGACAAGTGAAAACACCAGAGGTGAAATAGCCAGTGAACCCAGCGAACTGTGAGTTCTTGTCATTTATCCCATGTTGTTATTCCTGCCACTTTAATTAGAAAGGCATAATTTAGGGAACAAGTGAATGTTGGTGATTTGAGTCTTTTCAGCCTGATCAGAGAAGATGAAAGTCAACCCTAGGTCAAATTCCAACGTCATTGCTTAAAAATGGAAAAAAGGCTTCTCTCTGTCCTCTGAGGAAATTGAAATAAAGGTCTGTAGGGGAGAGATCCTTTAAGCCCCAAGGCAGGAGCAAAAAGCCTCAGCCTATTTCCATATAAATAATGAAGAAAGTAATTAGAAATATAACCCTAGTAGTTATTCATAGGTGATCTTAATTCTTTTACTAATGCCTCTCAGGAAGTGTGAACCTGGGGTGACATTGTGAAAAGAATGACACTAAGGCAAGATGCTCTAAGCCCTCTGTCACGCGCCCGCATAAGGGCTGCTGGAGGGTGCCTTGGCTGTGCGGCAGTGCCAGCACTGGAAAAGCGCCCACTGTTCAGCTAAGGAAGGCAACGTCCAAAATAGCTGAGACTTCCTCCTTCCCCAGAGGAGTTAGGAGAAAACTCAGCTTCTCCAAGCTCTTGTGGTAAGGCCTAATGGCTGTCAGGTGAACCCACAGACATCCGGGCGCTTAACTATCTCTGTGATGCTGTGCTTCAGTGGTCACGTTCCATGGCTACTCTTATGTTCCTTTTTTCTTAGATAATCAGTAATAGTAAAATAAATCTTGTAGTTCTTTTTGATAAGTATGGAAAAAGTGCTGATGAATTATGTTCCTTACCTTACTTCGGGTGCCAGAAATTCCTGAGCCCCCTCCCTGAATGACATGTGATATACTTGACCCTATCACTGCCACACCCTATCTACCCTGCCCCCGTCTCTGACCAAGACCACACCCTACCTAACCTGCCCCCAGATTTGCAACTCGGTAAAAGTGAGGGCATCCCGGCATTCGCGGCCACTTCAGGACTCCGCGATTTGGTTGGCAGTGGACCCCCAAACCCAAACTCTTTTCTCTATCTCTGTGTCTTGCATCTTTTATTTCTACAATTTCTCATCTCCGCACCAGCAGGGAGGGGCTCAGAACCCTGTAGAGCTGGACCTTACAAAGGTCCTTCTCTCAATTGAAGTTATTCTCCCTTTCCATTCCTATTTTGTTCCTTAGATCATAATTCATTTGTTTTTGTTTGACATTTGGAAGCTATATTTTATAAGATTTTTCTCGTCGTGTACCAAGATTACTGACTCATTTAACTTTTTACATGTGTGAGAACCCAATTCTAAACCTGTAACAACAGTTTCCAATTATCGCTTTTGTATTTAGTGATTCTGGTTCTAACAGTATAATTCCTTTCAGCAATGTCATAAGTATGACTAATCCCATTGTTGTATGCATGCCTAACAGTGCCCCCATCATGACCAGCAATACCATGCAAGTGGAAGAGCCACCCAAGTCCCCTAAGAAAATGTGGTCTAAAGATGAAAATTTTGAAAACAGAAGCTCTTTGGAGTGTGCTCAGAAGGCTGCAGAGCTTCGGTGAGAGTGTGGCACTCCATGCTTCAAACTTTAATGAACTGAAAAAGCTAAGAGATTGTTATTTACATCTTTCCTCCATCGGGTGGGGGAGGTGGGGAACAGAATGTTTGGGATTAAATTCAATCTGAGTAGACATGGAGTCCCTAGTAGGTTGAGAAATGGATTAACCTGCCAGCCACAGTGGCTCATACCTATTATCCCAGCTCTTTGAGAGGCCGAGGTGGGCAGATTACCTGAGGTTGGGAATTCAAGACCAGCCTGGCCAACACGGTGAAACCCCATCTCTACTAAGAATACTAAATTAGCTGGGCGTGGTGGGTGGCGCCTGTAATCCCAGCTACTCAGGAGGCTGAAACAGGAGAATCCTTGAACCTGGGAGTGGAGGTTGCATTGAGCTCAGATCACACCCTGGGCAACAAGAGTGAAACTCTGTCTCAAAAAAAAAGAAAAATTGATTAACCTAAAGAGGTGTTTATGTATAATAGAAGAGTTGCTGCTTTACTATATAGAAGGAAAACTACCTCATTCTCATGACCAAATGGGATTCTTAGCCTTCTCTGTGCATCAATTTCTAGATAACTTTTTTTTTTTTTTTTTTTTTTGGCATGGAGTCTCACTCAGTCACTAGGCTGGAATGCAGTGGCATGATCTTGGCTCACTGGAACCTCAAACTCCCTGGTTAAAGCGATTCTGCTTCCTCAGCCTCTTGAGTAGCTGAGATTACAATCACGTGCCATGCCCAGCTAATTTTTGTATTTTTAATAGAGACAGGGTTTCACCATGTTGGCCAGAATGGTCTAGATCTCCTGACCTCATGATCCACCTGCCTCAGCCTCCCAACATGCTGGGATTACAGGTGTGAGCCACCACGGCCCAGCTGGATAACTTCTTAAAAACATATTTTTACTTATTAAAGACGGGGTTTCACCGTATTGGTCAGGCTGGTCTTGAACTCACAACCTCAGGTGATCTGCCCACCTTGGCCTCCAAAGTGCTTGGATTACAGGCGTGAGCCACCACACCCAGCCTAAAAATACATTTTTAAGACAAGTTTTTAGTTTTATAACAAAATTAAGCAGGAAATGTGTACCCACTGCCTCTATATACACACACAGCCTTCCTAACTATTAATACTCCTTACCAGAGGGGTGCATTTGTTACAATCCGTGAAAATACATTGACACATCATTATCACCCAACAGCCATAGTTTACATTAGGGTTTACTCTTGGTGTTGTATATTCTATGGGTTTTGACAAATGTATAAGGACATGTAGCCATCATCATAGTGTCATACAGAATAGTTACGCTGACCTAAAAATCCTGTGTTCTACCTAGTCGTATCTTTGATCTCCAGCCCCTGGCAACCTCTGATTTTTTACTGTCTCCAGTATGCCTCTTCTAGAATGTCACTGGTGGGGTTACACAGTATGTGGCATGTGGCCACTTTTTTTTTTTTGAGGCAGTCTCATTCTGTCACCCAGGCTGTAATGCAATGGTGCAATCATCTCGGCTCACTGCAACCTCTGCCTCCCGGGTTTAAGTGATTCTCCTGCCTCAGACTCTCGAGTAGTTGGGATTACAGGTACCTGCCACCACACCCGGCTAAATTTTGTATTTTTAGTACAAAAATACATGGTGAAACGGTTTCACCATGTTGGTCAGGCTGGTCTCAAACTTAACCTCAGGTGACCCGCCTGCCTCAGCCTCCCAAAGTGCTGGGATTACAGGTGTGAGCCACCATGCCCAGCCTTATGCCCTTTTCAAATTGGCTTCTTTCACTTAGTAATATGCATTTAAGCTTCCTCACCATCTTCTAATGATTTGAAAGCTAATTTTTTCAAAGTGCCAGATAAGATTCCCTTGTCTATAAGTACCAATTTATCCATTCAACTACTGAAGGATGTCTTGGTTGCTTCGAAGTTTTGGCAATTATGAATAAAGCTGCTAGTAATGTGTAGTTTTTTTTTTTTTTTTTTTTTTTTTTTTTTTTTTTTTTTTTTTTTTTTTTTTTTTTTTTTTTTTTTTT